TCAGGCCCAATTCAAAACACGATTCAGCAACTTTTGATTTGAAATCGAAATCCTAGAATGCTGTTTTTTACGGAATATACAGCTAAAGCTGAGCTGAAACTTCACCACGTTAGTTGTTTAGCACCATTCTTTGGATTTTGAGCATTTTTGTTGCTTCAAGCGAACAAAATGCAGAAATTACAAATGATGGACTATACCTTTAAGAAGTGGCCGTATTGTTTCAATCATAACTCATGAACAAAAGGAAGAGTAATAATCGTATTTTGTGATCTGATTGCCCATGCCTTGATGAACAATTCATGTCGTGTACGTGAAGTAGCTTGACCTTCAATTCCGGGGTTAACGGAAGGTCAAATTTAGGTGAATTCAAAATACCAAAGAAACGTGAATATTAAAAAAACCGAAATTTCTCTTTAACGGTTCAAGGGATGTAGATGAAACCTTGTACAAACATTCACCATTGGTCAAAGATGTGGCAAAAGTGTGACGTCATCATATGACAAAAATTGGGGCTCAAGAAAAGTTACGGCGTGGGGTTCGGGCCCGCTCAAGCGCGCCGAATTTTTGGGGATTTAAGATTCTCTGGGGTGCGATCTGAGGCAATTTCTGACCGCTTTAACCAAACTTTTTTGAGGGGAAAATATGGTGGTTTACGCAGTGCCTGCCTTTATTGGTACGTCACTTTAAAAAAACGTTGCCAACCCCCCCCCCCCCCCCCATGGATCCGCCCTTGCACAGGGGGTGGGAATGGGCCCCAGAGGCTGAGGTTCCTTCACTCAATCAATACAGCAGCCAGATTTATAATTGTTGTGATTCTTTATAATATTGCACAGATCACCTTGGTAGGCAGGATTACCTTGCGCCTCTGAAACGGTTTACCGTGTATTGCATTCTATTAGCGATTACAAAACATATTAAATGATGCATACATTGTGAACGATCACGAATCAGTACGACGAATCTTCTAATCCATATGCAACTCAACTATGGACTTCACCATGATTAGCCTACTCTTCGTATACTAGACGGACTGAATGGAGCTATATACTCACCCAGCTGAACTGGATGGAAACTGACGACTGACAACGTGTTACAGCAGGACCTGCCGGAAATTTTTGGCGGACGGGACATACAGGACTGAGACAGGACTGGACGTGACGTGACTAAATGCATCAATGCACGGTAGGTTCAGGGACGAGCGCATGTGCGCATAAGATGTACATCTGTATCATTAACAGCGCCCCCTAGTGTCTTGTGTGTGCATGTCCCCCCTTTTCGAATTGTCACGACCGGGAAATTGTACAATTATTTTAGGAATGTTGGTCATTCTCCATCCTCCCCACTCACTGACACGGATTTACGCAACTGCAGATCTGGAAGGCGTCTCGGTTATCTTGGTGACATTCTCCAGCATCGCCATCTCCAGGTTGTCCTTGGTCACCGGTGGTCCTGCTGTCTCCTGAACATTTGCATCTGCTAAGGTTACGAATCTTTCCACAATGTGGGAATTGGGTAGTGGACGCCTCCTATGGTAACTTCGCCTCGATATATAGGTCTCAGGTACACAACTTTATACTCGCGCTGCAACTCTCGGAGGATTCCCTTCCTCTGAATTCAAATATGTCTCCCTTGTTTATATCCCTCTGTTTATATTAGAGGCTTCTGAGAGCAATGGAAGCGGGTAATTGAAGCGATATGGCAATACACCTCTTGTCCGGACTTGGGGCTTCCAATTCAGAGTATTTTGGACGCAATTGGGCCTGAAAGTGGCGCTATTTAGCCATGTTGTGGAGGGATCCGTTTTCAAGATGGCTGCTTGTACTCAGTTGGAAAACATCACTCGTTTCAGGGGTCGTCTTCATTGGGCGAGAATTTCTCGAAAAGTCATCGGTCTACCCACCAAAAATTGTAAAAAAAATAAACGATAACGTGTTGAACATCATTTTTTTGTGCAGCCTGAACACCTGTGAGAGTTTTGTATATTTTATAAGAATTTTGGAATATGGGCATTTATCGCTATTGTCTATGGGCCTTATTTACGAGTCGGCCATCTTGAATTAAAAGTGGGGTAAAATCGTCAATTTTGGAACTTGCGAAGAGAAAACAAGTTAATTTATAATAAATTGCAACCTGCTTCAAGGAATAATATTCAAAATTTGTAATTAAACATTCCCTAATGTTTAACGCCCTATTAAAAAACAACAACAACATGACAGTATAATAAGGCTGCATTGTGCCTGCATAAATAATCTGGTGCCATCCCATTCAACAGTTAACAGTTATAAAATACATTCGGGGAACTCGACAAAAATGACCAACTCGGGAACAGTTTATTTGAATGGGTACACCCGGCCTAGTGGTCTCGATCTCGCTCCATTGCCTACTTTATTTTTCTTTCAATAGAGGGCGCGCCAAATAAAAAGTGGTCTCGATCTCCCGTGCACCAAACTCGTATTGGGGCAACAACTCAAAAAATACAAGATGTGAAAAATTGAATTTTTGACCACTGATTTGTCGTTATGTTAAAAATTACCAGATTTCATTTCATAAGAAACCGACCAACAGTGAAGCTATTATGACCATAACGATACAGTGTTTTACGCAATCCGAATGAGAGTCAACGTGGATTTTTCGCGTGTAAAACACTACATTGTTACGATCATATTATTTTTATTGGTCAACGGTTTCTCGTAATATTCAATACACTTATGTTACACATAGTGGAAAATCAGTGCTCGAAATTTCAATTGAATACGTCTCCTATTTCTTGAGTAGTTCATCGGAAACGAGTATGTTCATTTTGTTCAATAGTGCAGCGTCCGGGTTGTTGCTTTGTGGAGACCACTAGTTATGTGGCGCGCCCTCTATTGAACAAATCTTAAATATAAAGCAGGAGCGTTTGTCTGCGGGTGCCGGTGCGAGAAGTTTGATTTAGCGCGCCTTTCTCGAAAGAAACTTTCAGTTGTTCTTTGATGATTTCTCACCTATTTGAATCTCCTTTTGTAATGTAACCATCAAGACCGATCACTTGCCGAACTTAGTATAATATAGGCTATTTCCATGACTGATTTGCTGCACGAGTGGATGTTTTTCGTCAGGAGACCCAAGACTTTATTTGCTTTACTTGTAACTTGATTTATTTGGCGTGCCCAGTTGAGGTCTTTGCTGATCTCCACTCCAAGGTACTGGTGGTGGTTCACTGTTTTAAGTACACTTCCGTTGATGTTGTTCGCATGGACGATGGGCTTGACCTTGTGGCTGATGTGCATCACATGACATTTTGTTGAATTGAATGACAGGCATTTCAAAGCTCCTGTTTATGAAAAGTGTTGATTCAAAGTTTGCAAGCCCACAGTTACAACAGGCCCAAGAGTAAGATGGATGGTCAACTAAGACTTCGTAGACCTGTTCGCTCATTTTTAAGCAACAGTGTGGAACCAGGAGTTACAAGTTTCACATTCAACAGCCTCCTGACCGAATTTTGCTGGGTTTTTTTTACACACGACGCAGGGAAATTTGGGTTTGGTATGGTCCTGGATTCAAGTTTATGTCATTTTAGAAAACATTATGATGAAGAAAATATAACTTCTTGGTCTTGATTTGAGCATCACAAAATTCGTCATGTTGTTCTAAACAGTCGAGTTTAAGGCAATATGGAACGAACTCACCCAACGTCCACCTGAGTGGGTGCCTCCAGGTTTACTCCTTATTTCCATCCAAGATTTCATTTCTTCGGGCCTCTTGTGGATTGCACTCTCCACCCTCCGGCAAATCGCATCTCCTTTTCAGCTCCCCCAAATTACCTGCTTCGGCGTACCGTCACTCCCCATGACTCTCCAACGGCGGAAATGCCTTCTCGAGTAGCCTGACTATGGCGTCGGGAAATTGTCCCCTCGCTATTATAGGCGATCCCCCCCCCCGATACCCAGCTGGGATGACAGTTCCCTTATCGCCTGTCCTACTACTCATTTCTCCTTGGGGCCCTAGCTGACGCATATATGACGCCGTGGACTGTTTATTTTTCCCTCAGCGCTTGACGAGTAGCTAGTAGACATGCACGTTGTACCTCATTGTCACCGAATTCAGGTATATGACTGTAAAAAAAGAAAAAAGAAAAAAAAGACAACTGTTGCCCGTGAGAGAACGATGCGCATGTGTGCAACTAGGGAAGGGTGCCTGTTTTCAAGTTTACATGCGCCTTGTTAATTTATTGGTGGCGTCCTTCACCAAACCTGTTAGATTGGTTCCCAGCAGTGTTGTTGGAGGTCTCGACCAAAGAAGTCTCGAGACCCTTTTTTTTCAGGTCTCAACGATTTTGAGGTCTCGGAATGTTGTGGTCTCAGTCTCGACTCGAAATGTCTCGGTCTCAGACAAGGGTCTCGGATCAAGACCTTGACGAGACCCGTTAGATATTCCAGAGTGTTTTAAGACAATTATTCGATTTAACCGCTTATAGCAATCGACACTGTATCACTAGGGCAAATCATAACGCATAATGCATGTCAAAAGAATTTCCGCAGGGAGAGCACGCTTATCGCCAGCATATCGCGCCGCTCAGTTAGTGCCATGGACTGTTTGTCATGTCATTGATCTCGAGCTGACTTCAGATTGCTTACAGTTTAATTTGGACAGACAATCGTGTCAGATACCCGACATTGTATAAGCTCGCTATGAGAAAACTAAAAGTCCCTGCCTCCAGTGCTCCTGTGGAACGCATCTTTAGCAGAGGTGGAATCATAATGAGACCACACAGGGCTAGATTGTCAGCAGATAACAAAGTTGTTGTTCTTGAAGTGCAATGAGGACATTCTGCAGAATTGCTAGTCAGTTTACCTTAATTACTACTACCAACTTGCTGAGTACAGTAAATCCTGATCAGAAAAAAAGATATAAACCTGTACTTGGCACGTCCCATCCGTTGCGCTTCAGTTCTGACTAAATAACCTGTCCACGAGCGCGCGTGACGCGTGGTGGCGCCCTGCATAAACAACACAGTCAAATAAAATCGCGCGCGCCCGCCCATGACCGGCCGGCCATCGAGGGCGACGTGATTGATCAGAGTCTTCAAGACGGGCATGACGGGGAAGATGTCTTTCATTTGCCGTGCTACCTCTGTCATCTGAATATGGTAGACTAAAGACAAGTATCGTCAGACCTCTGTAGGCTATGCACTCCTATTTCTACGCACTCGTGTTTAACGGCAAGATTACCATTGCGAAGTTCACTAATTTTCCTCTGTATTGACTAACAAACAAGCCCTCAGATAGCAATTTCATGTCATCAAAGTCAATTTGAGGAGTGAGAAAATACAAGCATTTTCTTAGAAAACACTTAGAAATTTTCAGTCCACTCTCATAGGGTTTGTACACAGAGTGTTGAGTGAACTTCGTATATGGAAATCTTTCCGTGTTGAACTTATATTTTGCAACGCGTGCATCGAATGACGGTAGGCTCACTCAGCTGGAGTTACTCAAGTAGGCTAGGCCTTAGCCCCACTAGTGTGGCCGTCGGTATGCTGCGCTGAACCTCTGGCCACACACCGTGGTCCGCGCACTACTGAGGACGTTTTCATAAAATCTGCGGTCCGTTTCTTACATTCTCAGTTTCTTACTTTCTTATGGTTGTATTCTATGATGTCTCACCTATCACTTCTGGGATGCTTAGATGTAATGATGTTCAGTTTTCCGAGATATTCTTCAATCTTTCTGGAGCCCATATGCACTCGTGAAACGTCTGGTGATGGCAGCCATTTTGAATGTGACAAGAGATGACCTCAAGCTGTGACGTCGCGTTTATGCTAATTGCTTGTCAAGCGAGGGCTGTTTCCTGTGCCGTGGATCCTGAATAGAGATCAGTGCACGTGGCCCCCTGACGATAAATGCATGGTACAGGAAACAGCCGTCGCATTTGCAACTCGTGCCCTCGCTCGACAAGCAATTTGCATAAACGCGACGTCACAGCTTGAGGTCATCTCTTGTCACATTCAAAATGGCTGCCATCACAAGACACGAGTGCATATGGGCTCCAGAAAGATTCAAGAATATCTCGGAAAATTGAACATCATTACACCTAAGCATCCCAGAAGTGATAGATGGGACATCATAGACTACAACCATATATGTAAGAAAATGCCTGTAATTTTTATGAAAACGTCCTCAGTAGTGCGCGGACCACGGTGTGTGGCCAGAGGTTCAGCGCAGCATACCGCGGCAACACTAGTGGGGCTAGCTAGGCCTAGTAACGTGGCTAGTCATGCTGTTGTCATACCCTAGTCATAGCCATATTAAGCCTTGCAACTTGTAAGCTGGTAATATACAAATATTGGCGATTGTGTAGGATAGGACCCCTGTTTAGTTTCGATCAAATAAGAGTGAAGGGAGGGAAATCTTTCCGAAGGGAGTTTTTTATCACTATTTAAAGACGACCTTTTCAAACTAAAGGAAGCAACCTTGTCTCCAGTGACACCTTTTTTTGTAATTTTCAAATTACAATTTTTCTTTTTCGCGGTTTACGGTTGGTGCCATGCGATTCAGCACGCCTTGCGTGTTCATGGTATACATGGCGGTGATCGCCATCTTTATTTTCGTGTTGCAGTTGTTGTCATTGTCATTGTTTTTACCCCCAAATTTCCCTGAAAATTCAAAAAAAATTGCCCTCTGACATACGTTCATGTTCTTAATGTCGCAAACTATTTTGGTAAGTCATATAATTTATGAGTGGGTTTTATTCCTTTATACTAGGGAACCAGGCCCGTAGATATAGGATTGCCCAAATATTGAGTGGCTCAGAGTGGAATATTGAATGGGAGGAATATAATTATTATTGCGCGGTAAAATCTGGACTTTTCTGTTTCACGAGGCAAACTGAGCGATAATATTTCTCCCATTTCACAATTTAAAGCGTGACAAATTTTAGTCTGGTTCCATGCCAACACTGTCGTTGTGACTTTGTATTCACGAGATGGGAATCAGACCATTACAATTCTGGAATTTAGCCTATTTCCTTTAAAGAAAAACGTCCAGAGCCACAAATCACAAAAAAAATAATGTAAGGCCAAAAAAAAAGTAAGTCGGTCTCTGGACAGCGCGCGCGTCGATTGTAATCATGCGCGTCAATCTTTTTTTTTTCCAAAATGTTCTGCGGTAGCTCCAACAGCGCCCTCTATTGCCGCACCTCCTCAATTTTTTTTACCAAAGAGCACCAAGGAATGGGAAATTGCACCAAGGCAAATGATCGAGAGCACCAAGGCAAATGATGGAGGACACCAATGTACATGAGGACACCAAAAAAGCAAAATAGTACCCCACATTGTCTGTACAATCCAAGCTTGAAGAAAAAAAAAAGCAAAAAAAAAAAAAAAAAAGCCGCATCGCTGCGTCAATTCCGAAACTTTGGTCTGACAAAGACCAAATATTTTTTTTTTTTTTTGGCCTAATAGGTCTACTCTCAGTCTGTAATTAAATTTTGGAGTCAATTTCAAATGATAAGAGAAGATTATTCTAAATATTTTGGGATAACCTTTTTTTTTTTCCTGAAAATGTCACCAGCTGGGGTTTGAACCAGGGATCTCTCCCTCAAGAACTACGGTACATGCCCTTATCCACTAGGCCATCGGGTGCTGCACAACGGTGGAGGTAATTTAACACCTTTTATAATGCGCTGTACAATCTAGCAGGCTAAATATCATTTACTGAAAGAAAGCCGACTAAACTAGCTTTGCCCCCCCCCCCCCTCATCTGTCGGCCTTTGTGTGACGAAAAATTATGAAAGTCGGTGCATGCATAAAACAACTTGATATGAAGATACCCAGGAAATTTCAAACTAGTAGGTTAAAGCGTTTTTGAATTATCAGCTAATAAATTAGTCCTATGCACCAATGGTAATTCTGCTTTGTGTACCTACATGTACATATGGGGAAATTCAGTTTCCACAGCTCGCAGCGCCCAAAAAAAACTTTCGCTGCACTGTACCCCCGTATATAGTCGGAATTTTGCATCAAAATATGCACAAGACTCGAGGCTAAAAAGGCAGGAAGGGTCGGGTTGGGAAATCGTTCTTTGCAAGGGTATAGCGAAACAATGTTAGGGGAGATTCCTTCTAAAAAGAGGGGCTGCCTCCCTCTTTTTAAATTAAAAATTGGAGGAGAAAATTACATTATTTTGCCTAATGGCCGGGCTCTCTTCCTTTTCCTGAAAATAAACCTGATGGACTTTAAAGGACCTACATGTACATGTACTGGTACTGTTAAAGGTAAATCATGTCTCTAACATCTGGTATTTTTTTGTTTTGTTTTTTACTTAGCTCATCCGGTTTCGCCAGGATGCAACAGCTTTCCAGACTGAAATCTTCGCTTTCTGTGCTGCAGCCACCGTGCCGGAAAAAGCTGGCAACTTGGAATCAAGTTGCTGTGACAACTTTCAGCGGGAACCAGCACACCATCAATTTTTACCCATCCACTGAGACAGTCAATACAGCATCCTATAATGATCACAGTAATGTCTCATGCCAGTGCAAAATCTGTCCGCAGTTAAAATGGCAGTCATTCTCTTCGAGATTGAAATGTACAAGGGCGGGAAAATCATCAACAATAAGCCCAACTGAAACACTATTGCAAGCTACCCCTTCTCAGGCATCACTGCAGTCATGCCATCGATTTGGCGTGTTGTTGTCCACGTTTCGGGGCCACTGCCTTTTGAGATGCCTCAGCCAATCAGCTATAAGTGGGTCAAAGAGCCACCCACATATCTCCACTGGCCCCAAACCATGGATATCCTCACCAGGCCAAGGCCCCACTCCTCACAGATTGTTCAGCACATCTGTGCCAATGCGCACGACGTTCAATTCGGTGGAGGAGGTTCAAGTGCCGACTGTGACGGATATGAAGCGCCACCTGAAGAATGCTGAGATTGATTTCCAGACGGGCTACACCTGTTTGACGGCACCGTGCCCGTTCTGCAGTGGCGTGGTCGCAGGTGCCCGCAGCAAAGACGTTAAAACTATGTTCATCAACATGACAACTGGTATGTTTAATTTATAGCTCCATTGTTTAATGAACAGATCATCATCCCAGCACTGACTGCTACATGTATAATGCTGACCAAAGAACGCAAGCATCCATGCTCATGCACGACACCCGAGTACCCGACCGTTGATGTCAGGAACCGGTTCCAGATTATGGGATTGGGTACTCGGTTTTGGGGTATTCGGTTTTCAAAATCCGACCCGTAACCAACTTTAAATATTATTTGGTACGGTAGCGTAAATTATTTTAAATTAAAAATATTAGGTTTTCAAAATCCAAACCGAATAGTGGAATTCAGCAGAATTCTATGAAATTCGGATCCCAGTACTATATCTTTGACCATGTCACTGTATCTGCCAGTGCACCAAGGCCAGTGGCAGCTTGCAGAGCCTCCACGACAGCCTGGCCGTGGCTTGGCAACAAGGCTGCCAGGACTTGTCCTTCCTTGGTTATCCCGCCTCTGACACCAAAGGGTCATTCCATGCCAACTCAACAAATGGTGCACACCATCACCTCTTGGATTTTTTTCTTTTTTGGTGTACTGAAAGATACTTAGGAGAAATGCAAATTCTGAAAATTTGGGGTCTCTACGACTTTTCGTTCTTGCGCAACAGCATTTTGAAATTTGAGGTGGGCGGGGCCAAAAGTGCGTCGCGTCACGAAATTCAATGTTTAAAGGGCCATATATTTAAAACTATACCCCCCAGACATTTCAAACTTGGTAATCTGGGCTATTTTTTGCTGTAGATTTCAAATATTTAAACAGAAAGAAAGTAGCTTCTTTCATTTTTAAGTTAAAGGGGCCCCAAAATGGCCCAAAACTCATCTGGACCAATGTTCGGGGGGGTGTAAGTCAAAAATTAAAAATATTTTTTCACCAATTTTTTTGCCTGTAATAGCCCCCAAGTGAAACTACTTTCATGTAAAATCTTACACTTATATTAACTTCATTGAATGAGATATAGCCCTTGCAAAAAGCAAATTTCTTATTTTTACGATAACTTGACCCCCCCAAAAACCAACGTCAGACATTCCGCCCCAAATTTTGCTTCACATATGTTTGAGGTTGGTCCTTAGTGAAGTCCTCTAAAAAGTTTCATGTTGGTGTCTAAATGTCTTCAGTGGATAGCTGGGCTTTATAATGAGTCTACATGTATATCTTACGATGCTGGTTCCGTAACATACAAGTACATGTACATTGTACCAAGAATAACAGCAGTCGGTACATAAAGAATAAGTTGGGTATGAAACTTAGCTTACATTTGTACATGTAGACTTTTGATCAGTTGATATAATTGTTTACAGTTTCACAGGTGAAATTATGCATTCCTTGTGATGTAGTTTTGATGAAGTTGAATGAGTTGCATGATGGTTGGTTCACTAAGTTTGTATTGCCTTCCACCGCTATGTAGAAGTTCTGGTGTTGGTACGCAACACAACACATCAACAAATGGAATGTTACATTTATCTTCTCTTTGTGGCCAATAAAGAGTATTTGCTGATTCCGTCCTGTACATGAAGCAGACATACACATCCTCATGAAGTTGTGATACATCTTCTACAATAGCAATGTACCAAACATCATCATAGACCACACAAACATATTTTCCTGGGTTGAGGTCAGCTGCTACAATTGGTGCATGATGAGTTTCCTGCATTAACTAGGTTCCCCTTATCCATAATGAAAACTAAGATCAATCAGGTTAAAACCATAGACCCTTTACTCAAACTGAATCACTTCTCTTTGGTTCAGGTTAGTGCTATACTATGCTGTGCAAGTGAGAACTGGTTAATGTATACATGACATGCATGCTGTGTGATGAGCACATGGAAAGAATAAGACTCTCAAGTCATTTAACCTAATTTGCATATAATGCACACATAGGTCTACAAGCAACTGTTTATTGAGCAGGAAATGGGTAGTCTTGACCCGAGTCTATCAACTGTCTATCAACAGGGATTTTGTTGTGCTGGTTCCGTAAAATACAAGTACATGTACTTGTATGTTACGGAACCTGCAGCATCGTAAGATATAGACTCTTTATAAAGCCCAGCTATCCACTGAAGACATTTAGACACCAACATGAAACTTTTCAGAGGACTTCACTAAGGACCAACCTCAAACATATGTGAAGCAAAATTTGGTGCGGAATGTCTGACGTTGGTTTTTGGGGGGGTCAAGTTATCGTAAAAATAAGAAATTTGCTTTTTGCAAGGGCTATATCTCATTCAATGAAGTTAATATAAGTGTAAGATTTTACATGAAAGTAGTTTCAATTGGGGGCTATTACAGGCAAAAAAATTGGTGAAAAAAATATTTTCAATTTTTGACTTACACCCCCCCGAACATTGGTCCAGATGGGTTTTGGGCCATTTTGGGGCCCCTCTAACTTAAAAATGAAACAAGCTACTTTCTTTCTGTTTAAATATTTGAAATCTACAGCAAAAAATAGCCCAGATTACCAAGTTTGAAATGTCTGGGGGGTATAGTTTTAAATATATGGCCCTTTAAACATTGAATTTCGTGACGCGACGCACTTTTGGCCCCGCCCACCTCAAATTTCAAAATGCTGTTGCGCAAGAACGAAAAGTCGTAGAGACCCCAAATTTTCAGAATTTGCATTTCTCCTAAGTATCTTTCAGTACACCAAAAAAGAAAAAAATCCAAGAGGTGATGGTGTGCAACATTTGTTGAGTTGGCATGGAATGACCCCAAAAAGTTTTATGTAATTTGATTAGCTTTTCCCTTCTTTGACCAGGCCACTGTATCTGCCAGTGCACCAAGGCCAGGGGCAGCTGGCAGAGCCTCCACGACAGCCTAGCCGTCGCTCAGCAGCAAGGCTGCCAGGATCCGTCCTTCCTCGACGATCCCGCCGCTGCCACCGATGAAGAAGCGGAGGTGAGGGGTCAAGGGTCAGGCATGACCAAGGTCCAGGAGGTGTGGGAGGGGGCCGTGGAGTTGAGTGCCTGCAAGGGAGCTGTGATTGACCGGCTGCGAGCCTCAATGGGCATGGAGGTGAGAAATGGATCCTGTAGATCCTAAAAGGTAACAATTGAAGCCTCGCCGCATGAGCTTTAGGTGGTGCAGTGTCCCTACATGTAAGGGCTCCAGTACAGTGGGGGAGACAGGGCTTGTGTGCGCAACTTTCTTGCAGGTATGGCGTGAAGTACACACGATAATTGTATTCTGAATGTGCATAACAGGGATGTAGTTGATTCCATCACTAGTCCTCCAGTCCCAATTCAAATCACAAACTTTTCAAATCAGCTTTGGCAAAGGCAGTCCTTTGTTGTTCCACATTTACTTATTAATATTATTAATCATTTCTGGTAATGAAACCAAGGATTCCTCAAAAGCGCCCTAGGCACTGTAGCTCGCAAGCCTGAAGAAACCTGCGGAGAGAAGACAATGAGAAGAAGTTAAAGTTTTAGAGGTGGGAGGGAAAGCCCAGAAAAATATTCTGGGGAAAACCCACAGAATCAGGCAGGGACTGAAAACCCAATCCACATATTGGCCCAGGCGGGATTCATAATAAGCTTCTCTCTTGTTTTTTTTAAGCAAATCGCGACAGATACTCTAGAGCGATTCAACATCCGGTACAGCAAGAAACAGCGGGCGTTTGTCCTGCCCTTATATGGGCACGGTGAACAGCTGCAAGGGGTCAAAGTCCTTGAAGTCAAGAAGGTCACGGAAGGGTCAGAGGTCACAGAAACGCTGTACCCAAGGTCAGTGCCCGTAATTTCTTGATTTCGTGGGAGTCTGATTAGAAAGATGATTTTTGGTAGAACTTTGCTGTGGCAAACACATTTGGGTCCACAATAAGATTGTTTCAGTAGTAGTTTGTTGGCTTGGGCTGGCTTAAAATAGTCCATATAGTTGGGATTTTCTTTATTCAGTGGTGGGTTGAAATATTTTTTCCCAGAATGTTTTTTTCAGTTGACGAGTGTTTGATCATTTAAATGGTAGAATACTGCTTGGAGAGAGGACTCTCCAGGATAGAAGAAATCTTCTAGAGAAATATAATGACACTGAGTTGTGCTGTAAATACAATTTATTTTCACATGATTTGAATCAGACAAACCGAAAAATTTAGCAGTCTCTCCGGTATCGACCTATCACGGTAGAATCGTGTTAGAATCGCGTCAACGCAGCTGTGAAATATTTTCCAATTACGTGATTATACAAATGGACGCAAAACAGGCAAAATCTGAGACAAGCAAAACTTAGTGTACAAAAACTCCATAGGGTTGTGTAAGGGGCGTGGCTAACTCGCAAACGGCGATAGGTCAATTACAGTGGGTGATGAGCACCACAGCCCATAACCATGGAATGCTTGTTTGTGAATCATTACTCTAAGCAGGCTTAGTAAAGGCCGGCTTATTGCAGTGTGCCAAGTTTGGTGTCTTATCTAAGACCGTCTGAGAGCGATAGCCAGCTAAAAGCGGACTGGTTAAGCCAGCCGGCTAAGACCATGGTATTGCAATCCACCCCTGACAAACCACTGATGATAATGTCTTTTTGTTTCGTCTAATCAGACATAACCAGAACGGTTTATTCGGCTATCACCTGATTGGTTCAAGAGATGGAGAGATGGTTTTAGTCGCCAACGTCTTAGATGCGCTAGCTGTCCATCAGATGACTGGACAGACTGTGCTGGCCCTGCCCAATGGGAGCGCTTCTTTACAACAAGAGGTACGATTGGTTGATACACCTCATACATATTCATGCACCACAAAGCACTTCTCTCATTGGTCAATGTTGTAATGCATTAGGGAAGTGCAAGAAGCTTATTCGTTGTTTTTTCCAGAAAGAGGGGTGCTATGCGCCCCTCGGATGTTCAAAACGTCATATCCCACATCACAGCAGTCAACAATTGTTTGTTATACCTCTGTCTTGGATTCTTTGGATTGTGATGTAAAAATCATGAAAACAAACAGCAATAAACACAACAATCATGACAGTCAAACGTCAATTTACTTGCATGTCACATGCTCGAAACACCTGATCGTCTACTATTTAGCTACTCCAACTCATGTGTGAAAACATGGTGAAAATAGGGTACCAACGAAACAAGCGTTTCACTCCATACGTACCGTACGTACAAAGTCAGCTTGATCGTTCTAGGCCAATGAAAATAAAGTACTCAAGACAGAGGTATAATAAAGATTGAAAGAGTCTCATCAATTGTGTAATTTCCTCTTTTTGTGGTGACTGCCCAGTTTTCTGCCTGCCTTCTGAACCCTCAACTGTAGACCAAAAACTTTGAGGACCATTCTGACCAATTTTACTCACCCTTATAAATTACTCACTAACAATTCTTACCTCCATATTTCTCCAACATGGTTCCATATGGTGGTCCCAATTTTTTTTCTACACTTTTCAGAGGCAGATTTCTCAAAATCGATGAGACATGTTGAAACTACAAGATCCTGATGGTATATGGTGAAAACGGCATTGAAAACAAAGCTCAAAGTAAGAAATAGCGGCCATTTAGAGAAAAGAGGTAAAAAACTAGTTTGTCCACATCTATGGCAGTCGTGTAGACCTAATTACAATTATTGCAGTTATTTGTGTACGCAGTGCTATTGTGCTGACCATATCTGATAGACTTGCGTGTGGATAAACTGGTTTTTGACCATCTTTCTTTAAACCGTCGCCATTTCTTAATGTAGGCTTTATTTTCAGAGCCATTTTCCCCGTATACCACGAAGATGCTGTAGTTTAGGAATATCTTGAAACAATTTTAACACGTTTACCCAATTCCATGAAATCTACGTCTGAAAAAGTCTAAACATTGTTTTGGACGACCCTGTATTATGTGACGTTTCAGCTGTTGCCGCTGTTGGAGCAGTTCCATCAGATCACGCTGTGGTTTGGCAATGACATGAGGTCCTGGGAGGCGGCCAAACAGTTTGCTCGCAAGCTCAACACCAAACGCTGCTACTTCATCAGGTATGACTTGGCAGTCCAAGAAAAGCCAGGATTGTAAAAAGAAGAATTTCAAATAGGAGGTGAACCGATTGATTGCTTCAATGGGCAGGCTTGGCAGTATGACAAGTGTTGCATGTTGCTGCTTTTGGCAGAGTTTCTGGCCAAAGTGTACCCTGGAGGGTAAGGGTAGTCCCACTTGTTTGTCTTTTTTATTATTTTTTCCTTTTTATCAAGCATGGCGGGCAACTTTTTAAGCATGGCGGCAGCTTTTAAAGCTTGGCGGGTTCCGGGATTATTTTTGCCGAAAAATTTTGATTTTCGCAAAAGTCAACATTTTTCAGCCCACTTCTTGTACAATTAAACACCACAAGAGTCATTTCAACAGTACTTGTGTGATATTTCTTGCCGAAACCTCATATGTTTCAATACTCTGGGGTGTGCACTGGAGCGTAAATTGTACAACAATAGGCCGTGCACAACGGCCAATTCAAGATCAACACACGGTCCGCCTCCACAGACTTCATGGACTTGGTGTGTACAAAAGGCACGAGGGATTAACATGTTTAGACGTCACCCAGAGGCGAGTCGAGGCAGTCTTGACGTCTTAATCGTCAGCCGTCTCAATCGACTTCGTCTCGGTCCATTAACAGCGGTCACCCCCAAACCCGGTCAATATTTGATTGATAAGAGACCACGGGCAAATGCCTATGTCTAACGAATGAATGAATGAATTAAGACCAGATCCTCACACTGTTATTCCCTTATCCCCCCCCCCCCCCCCAAAAAAAGGCTCTGGTTTCTGGTCTGCGTGCGCGTCGCTTCAGCCATGTGCCTTGGCAAAATTGAAACTTTTTTTTTCAATGTAAGATGTTGTCACAAAACCGCCAAACTCACTAGTTTTAACTGGAATCCTGCTGCTGCACAATTCCAACGTGTTTTTAGATGGGGTTACGATCGAGTATAAGCTTTATGTGGCCTCTCTGGGTTCCCATATATTTTGCACTAAATTTAGTCGGGCACCATTTGCAGTCATTAGCCGACATTTGAAGAAAAAAAAAGTAAGAAAAAAAAAGAAAAGCTGTGTCGCCGCACCACTTTTGGACAAGCTCCATACCAGAAACCAAAGACTTTTTTGGGGGGCCTTAGTAAAATACATGTGAAGATGCAGTTCTCATACCTAAGGTCTCTCACACTTGAAGGAATGTGTACTGTGTGGCCCTGCAACATGCATAAAAACAAGTAGCAATGCCATGAATATTCATTTGTTTCAAAGAATTTATTGATTTATCCATGTTCCCACAGGCCACTGGATTGTCACCCGCCAGCACTGGTGGCCCTGCAACAGGGATTGAGCCTGCGGAGCATTCTCAAGCAGGCCCATCCCGTGAGCCACAAGTCCATCGTGTCCTTCCGGTCGTTGCGGGAAGAGGTGCTGGGGGAGTTGTCTCATTCTGAGCAAGTGGCCGGGGTTAAGGTGAGCAGATATGACCCATGTTACCAGTCTGATGCAATCTACCGTAGTGAGGAATAAGCCCTAACAGAATCTGTATTGCCTTTAGACAGTGTTGAGTCCATTCTTAGCCAAAAGAAATTGTAAAAAAAATTGCTCAGCTGTCAGATTTGTGTGTGATTTGTTTAGTTCCATGTAAGGAAACTTCCATCAGAGTTTCTGCCCAGTTTTTAAAAAAACCTGCATTTTTAAGAGTTTTAGACTAAAGTTAGAGAAATTTCTAAGTCTTCTCACAGTTCATGAAAATCAAATGAGGGATGTTACAAAAAGTTTTTGAGATGGGTCATGTTTTTGGACTCCACATTAGACCCCCAGAGTTATGGTGTCAAGATGCATAGGTCTAGGGCTAATTTCGCAGCGCCGCTAAGCACATGATTTTCTGCTAACAGAGCCTCCGTCTATTTCACGGAGACCGTAAGCAGTAAGCACAGCAACAGGCATGCTTACCTCAGAGGAAAAAGTTACTTTCATGCTGCCAGGGGTGTGAAATCTCAGCTTTTAAGCTGATTTCAGCTTTTTTTTGTTTTGGATTTCAGCTTTTTCCCTCACTTGCTGTGTACAAAAGTATAGGAGATTTCCAAAGTTCAGCTTTTTTACACCTTTTTCAGCTGTTTTCAGCTATTTTTATCAGTAGTCACTCACACCCCTGTGCTGCTTCGCTGCACATATACCCATGAAAAGCAGTTTGATTCTTTGTGTGACCAGAAAAAAAGGATGCAATTAGACTCACATTAGACTCACAATTAAAATCAGTGACGTAAAAATAGAAATTTCATTGCGTGTGCAACCGTTAGCACATCCGTGCCATAAAATACCAACAGTGCTTAAGGAATAGCACAATTTTCTCACTATAGTAAGCACATATTTTCTGGAAACTGTTAAGCAGCTTCATAATGAATTGGGCGTGCCACAGTAATTAAATTTCAATTTCCATCTGTTTGGCTTTTGACAGTGGAGGCGGTTCCCCACACTGAACAAACTACTCAAGGGCCATCGGCGCGGCGAATTGTCAGTTTTCACCGGGCCCACTGGTTCTGGGAAAACCACCTTCATGGCGGAATATTCCCTTGATCTCTGCACACAAGGGGTAAGTATGGCTGCGAAAGACGCATTTACATGCCTTCGGCCCGACCACGTTGTAGCCGCGCCCTTCGCAATGTGAAAACTTATGTCAATAACCTCAAATTCACATTTGTTTATAGTTCCAAAATGGGATTGTTACAGTATCCTCAAGAATAAGGTCTATAAGTTTCTCTGCAATGGACCTTTCTGAATTTATCATGTTTAATACTCTCTTGTGAAGCATTTCCTTGAAATGTTCCAGGTAAACATCCAATAAAAATTTGGGCGATTCACAATGGAGTGCACCACCAAGAGTTTGCCATGGAGAGTTCAGACTTGTTCAAGTTTACTGTCAACAAAACATGGGCCATTTGAATGAGTGTCAGTAGACAACTTGAGCTAATTGGTTATAGATGGCGGCATAGCGTTCTGCTGCCTTACAAAAAAACACCATATTGATAAAAAGACAAGAAAATGGCAAACAGATCCTCGAATCATGTACGCTTACGAAACTACCGACCGGAAAAACTAACAATATCAAATGTCCTGCGCTGCAAATTTGTCGACCATCTCCCACAATGCACTGGGAAAAGTTAACTCTCCGTGGCAAACTCTTGGTGGCGCACTGCATTGTGAATCGCCCAAATTGGAAGCAATTGATACTACTTAAACTCAATGCATGCTGGAAAATGCTGCCTCAAGAGTTGCCTTTTGATAACCACTGGACAAATTTGACTTTTGACAACTTGGGCAACTTCATGTTTTTTTCTTCTTTATTTCTTCGATGCTCAGGTCAACACACTTTGGGGAAGTTTTGAGATCCAGAATGTTCGTCTTGCCAAGGTCATGCTGTCCCAATTTGCACAGTGAGTTACTTCAAATATTTACAGGATTGCAATTTCCCTCCCCCTTACTAAGGCCCAAAAAAATAGTCGGTCTCTGGTCAGACCAAAGTTCAAAATTGATGCGGCGATGCGGGGGGTTGGTTTTTTTATGATGCTTTATTGTTTTCTTCAAAACGACCGCATGCCAGAAGCTATTCAGCCCTATGTTGGCGGTTTTCCATTTTATCAATGCCCTTGTTCAAGGGGCGCTAGTCAGAGCACCAGAATGGCTATCCAGTGGTTGCAGGTTCAACCCCGCTTCAGTCAAATTCAGTGACAAAATGGGGAACAGCCAACATAGGGCTGGATAGCTCAGTTGGTAGAGCACCGGAACGGCAATCCGGAGGTCTCAGGTTCAAATCCCGCTGCAGTCAATTTGTCAGTGTTGAACTTTTAAAAATTGGTTTCTTATTTTGTTAACTCTCGTTCCTGCTTGTTCCAGACTCAATTTGGAGAAGAATCTGGACAAGTTCGACAAGTGGGCCGACAAGTTTGAGATGTTGCCTCTGTACTTCATGACGTTCCATGGCCAACAGACTATGAAGGCTGTTATTGAGGTATGGCAAGTGCACACTGTTTTCTGGGATCACCGAGGACAGGGGGAGGGGAGTTTGTGGTTCAGCAGTTAACCCTTAAGTCACTGTAGTTCCCTAAACTGCCCTGCCTATTACTCCCTGTATCGCCCAAAACCACCCTGCCTATTACTCCCTGTATCGCCCAAAACCACCCTGCCTATTACTCCCTGTATCGCCCAAAAACCACCCTGCCTATTACTCCCTGTATCGCCCAAAACCACCCTGCCTATTACTCCCTGTATCGCCCAAAACCACCCTGCCTATTACTCCCTGTATAGCCCAAAACCACCCTGCCTATTACTCCCTGTAGCGCCCAAAACCACCCTGCCTATTACTCCCTGTATCGCCCAAAACCACCCTGCCTATTACTCCCTGTAATGCCCCAAACCACCCTGCCTATTACTCCCTGTAGCGCCCAAAACCGTCCTGCCTATCACTCCCTGTATCGTCCAAAACCACCCTGCGTATTACTCTCTGTAGCGCCCAAACCACCCTGCCTATTACTCCCTGTATCGCCCAAAACCACCCTGCCTAGGCTATTACTCCCTGTATCGCCCAAAACCACCCTGCCTATTACTCCCTGTATCGCCCAAAATCGCCCTGCCTGTTACTCCCTGTACTGCCCAAAACCCCCGTGCCTATTACTCCCTGTACTGCCCAAAACCGCCCTGCCTGTTACTCCCTGTAGTGCACCAAACCCCCTGCGTATTACTCCCCGTAGCGCCCCAAACCGCTCTGCCTATTTCTCACTGTAGCGCTTAAAACCGCCCTGCCTATTACTCCCTGCAGCATCTGAAATCCCCTGCCTATTACTCCCTGTAGCGCCCCAAACTGCCCTGCCTATTACTCCCTGTAGGGTACCTGTGAGGGCAGAGATGGTTACTGTGATTGAATTAGCTTCCTTGCACCTAACAGGCTGCATCGAGCTGTATACTCCCCAGGGAGCTGAGATGGTATCTGGAATGTTTAATTGGCCCAATGATCAGGGGTAATAATAATGTAAAGCGCTTTGATCTTAGTTAAAAGCACTATAAAAGAACCTGTTTTTAGTATAATTTATTATTATTAAGGTCAGTCATTGCAAAAATGTTGAAAAGACATGAATCTGGGTCTGAGAAATATTTCCAATCTTGTTAGGAAATAGTTTGAAAATGCAATCGATTCTCCATAGACTTTGTACACAACCATATAGCCAACAGAGTCATTTCTAAAATGTTTTTTTAGTAGAAATGGTAAGGTCTTGCCATCAGAGTACAAGTTTATTAATCCACAGCTGTTAACAAAAACGTCATTCTGACATGTAAATCTGTATTTAGTCTCCAAAGCAAATCATGTCATTCTACCAAATTTCACCATCTTCTCAAAACACGGTCAAGTCACACCATTAGGTGGAAATCGAAACCACTTGGGTCCCAATTCGCACCTCAACAACTATTAATCCCACCAATTTCTTGAACCAGGCAACTTGCGCTATCCATTAAATTCTACACGTCCGGATATATAATGCCGCTTCCGCAAAAAACAGGAACCAGTTTATACCGGCCCGTTCGAGAAAAACTAAAAAGCGCGTTGGGGTTATTTAGATGGAGGGGATTAGTCTATTTATCCGAGGGGGAAGTCCTGGATTTCCTGTTGAACTGTACAAGGTTGCAATGGACTCCGAGATTAAAAAAAAAAAAACCTGGTTGGCGATTGGTAGCCACTGATACGGATGTTTACCAGAAATTTGGCACTGAACACTCTCCAGCTGTGGACAATTTAAAATGAACGTTTCAGAGGTGCAAAGCTACAAGGTGGATAAGTCACGATAAGTGATTTTTATTTTTTTCTATCTTTCTCATGCTTCCAAGGTAATAAGTGAAATATACACCGCACAAAATAAAAGAAAGTCCACACTCATTGGAGGGGTCATAATTTTGAATCTGATCGTCTTTATGATGATTTCATTTATATAGACCTTTAGGGGATGTTGTTAGCTACATTTTGATGCCCCTTTTGCTACCAACGACTGTAAATTGTCCAAGATTGACAACGGTTTATGAAAAATGATGCAGTTTGAAAAGTTGCAAATTTAAAGAGTACGCGAGTGGAAATTGCTTCATGACAATGTCACACTGCCCGAAACGAACGGCAGGGAATACCGATCGCACAGTGCTTGCATGCATGGGAGCACGCAAAATTGAATTACCCACACTTTGTTCGGGCACTGTGCAGTCGATAGGGGCCAATTATTGGCATGTGTGTTTGGTTACACTTAGCAATTTCGCCTCGTGTAATCTTTAAATTTGCAACTTTTCAAACTGCATCAGTTTTCATAAATTGTTGTCAATGTTGGACGATTTACAGTCTTTGGTAGCAAACGGTGTATCAAAATGTAGCTAACAACATTCCCCAAAGGTCTATATAAATGACGTCATCATAAGACGATCAGATTCAAAATTTTGAGTGTGGACTTTCTGTTTTTGCGGTGTTTACTATACTGTTGATGTTTAATCCTGTTCATAAAACTAAGGGTCCTCAAAAGTGCACAAGCACAGTGGCTTGGAAGTCTGAACGAAATCTGTAGAGTGAAAAAGTTGAAGGAATATTCAATTCAAGAAGCAAAAGTAGTAAAGTCTGTCATAAGCCAATATGGCCCATCTGGCCAGCGTTTATCTCCGGTTTCCTGGACACGAAATGACTGAGAATATTTCCATTCCCCCGATGGGATGCCAGTCCATCGCAGGTTACTCCCCAGCTAAACCTGGTACCCATTTATACTCCTAGGTAGAGAGAGGCAAGCTGGGGTAAAGTAGCTTGCCCAAGGACACAACAGAAGCTAAATTCAAACCCCTGACCCTCTCATCATGAGTCACGAACCCTAACCACTAGCCCACACTCCCGTCAAAAGAATATCTTATAAAATCAGGCAGGAACTGAACTGTGAAGCTAAGGTTGAGATTTTTTTTTTTTTTTAAAGATGAAGCTTTTATTTCTCTGTTACCCAGGCCATGTCCCATGCCGTTTATGTGCACGACATCGAGCACGTTATAGTCGACAACTTGCAGTTCATGGTGGGTTACTCGGACAAGTCGTTTATGATGGAACGCTTCGCCATGTACGACCACATCATAGCCGCCTTCCGCAAGTTTGCCACCAGCAATAACTGTCATGTGACGGTCGTCATCCACCCAAGAAAGGTAGTGCTAATAAATCATCAAATTAATCTTAAGGGTAAAAGTAAGTCGGGTCTCTCTCTTCGGCAAAGTTTTGATCGAACAAACGAAAAAGACTAAAACACAATTACAACCTGGACAATTCCGTAAATTAGGACGTACATGTCAGACATTTGAATGAGCTACTGTTGGAAAAGTGAATGTGATACATCGCTAATAATGTGACATCCATTGAGTGGAAAAGAATTACAGACCAAACTAAGGTACCACCACCTTAACGACCTTGTCCTTTCATATCATGTGGTCGGACGTACGTTGGATTTTATGGAATTGCCCGACTGTGACCTCTGAAATGTTAGCAGCGCTCTACTGAATGAGTTCAGATTTAAATGTATCGCCCCAATTATTTCTGTGTGTCTGTTAGTTCATCAAAGATAATCTGTGTATGATTTTTTTGAGTGATTGAAAAATTAAAATCGGAATTAAATTGCTGTTCTTTTGTATTTATATGAGGTATGAGCAATTGAGACATTGTACGGGAAATTCCACGAACGAGAAATAGCCGGTGATTTAGTGTGGTGCTTAAATGTTTATCTGTCTTTAGTAATTAATTTATATTTAATATTTACATGTATATTTGACTAAACAAACTGCAGACTGTATTCAAAAATATGCTGTTCTTCCGTAATTCATTGACATCATAATCACACAAAAATAATGTGCTTATATAGCGCTTTATACCAAAGGTCTCAAAGCACTTCACAATAATTAGCCCTGTTCATCGGCCATGAGAGTTTTTTTTCTGCAGCAGCTCAAGATCATCGCATTCTGGTCTCTACCTTCACAGGTACCCATTTATACTCCTGGGTGGAGAGAGGCAATTGTAGTCAAGTGTTGACCACTTGCAGTTTATGGTAGGCTATACTGATAATAAGTCATTCATGATGGACCGCTTCGCCATGTACGACCACATCATAGCCACCTTCTGCAATGATCCATTAAATATATTTTTTTCAGCAGAGCCTTGATTACAAACTTTTCCTGATGAAATGAATTTCTTTTTGGTTTAAATAAATTCCTCAGGAGAATGCCATGGAGGAGCTTCAGGCCGCATCCATCTTCGGCAGTGCCAAGGCATCCCAAGAAGCTGACAATGTCTTCATACTCCAGGATCGCAGACTGACTGCTCTCAGGGGGCGCAAGTACATACAGGTATGGGAAGTAAAACGTCTAAGAAATATAACACCTGAGAGCTTTCACTCATACCCACTGTTCTAACCGAAGGGCATTGGTGACAAAAGTAAAACGTCTAAGAAATAAAACACCCAAGAGTTTTTACTCATACCCAATGTTCTACCTGAAGGGCATTGGTGACGGCTTGTGTGTATCGAAAGGGGAGGGGCATGGGGGAGAGTGCCCCCTTGTTCTCGAGGCCTGTGCTCCGCTGCCTCCCCTGTGGCGGTGTGCAACCCCCCCCCCCTCCCCCCCCCCCCCAGCTGAGAATTGGGAGAATGCAGAATATAGCTTCCCATTGTGTGAATTGATGACTAAACCCATTTTGTGCCCCCCCCCCTCCAGAAAATGAGGCCCCATTAATTGCCCCCCCCCCCCCCCCCCCCCCTGCAAATAGGATCCTAGAAACACTACTGTGGAGTGCTGTGGCCTCGTGGTTAAGGGCACTGGTTTCGTGGTCTGTGGGTAAAGCTGCAGGTTGTGGGTTTGAGTCCAGCCGGGGTCATGGTGTGTGTGCCCTTGGGCAAGGCACTCTGTCACTCATTGCTTCTCTCCACCCAGGAGTAAATGGGTACCTGTGAGGGCAGAGATGGTTATTGTGATTGAATAAGCTTGCTTGCGCCTAACAGGCAGCATCGAGCTGTATACTCCCCAGGGAGCCGAGATGGTATTTGGAATGTTTAATTGGCCCAATGATCAGGGGTAATAATAATACTGTAAGCGCTGTGATTTAGTTTACTAATAAGAGCGTTCTTAAATGCCGATTATTATTATTATTACTACTGACAATGAGCGATTCAGTTAAAAATATTCGATAGGAAACTTGTACCACATATAGTAGTTATGTAACGATTTAGGAAATACAGTATGAAAAGTTAAGTGAGTTATATGCCTTACTTCTGCCTTAACCATCCCCATCACCTCCCCCCAACTACCCCCCCCCCCCCCACCCCCTCACCTCTAAACCTCTTAATGTTTGGCCGTCAAACTTTCATGGCCAAATACGGTGGTGGCTTCTATCAGTGGGACCGGTGGGACCGGTCCCAGCCGGTGCCTGTTGTTGATACTGGCCGTAGGAATAAACAGTTTAATGCTGGCACGGCAAGTGGAAATTTTGCACAGGAATTGGAATTAGGCATTTCTGGCCCCTGTGCGGATTATCCCATCACCGCATCGCGACTCATCTGTTTTTGAAGACCTGTCTCGGTGAATCAGAGGCTAGTCGCGTGGAAGTTTACCGTAAACATTTCTGGAAACCTTCCCCTTCAAGATGCAAAAGTGAATTTTTTGTCTCCAAACGAATTTTCAATTTGTACATTTTGTACTAACAAAAAAAACAACTTTGTTCTGCTTGTTACCCCCTGTAACGCCCCAAACCGCCCTGCTTGTTACTCCCTGTACTACCCCAAACTGCCCTGTCTGTTACTCCTTGTACTGCCCCAAACCACCCTGCCTGTTACTCCCTGTACTGCCCTAAACCACCCTGCCTGTTACTCCCTGTACCACCCCAAACTGCCCTGCTTATTACTCCCTGTACTGCCCCAAACTGCCCTGCCTGTTACTCCCTGTACTTCCTTAAACCACCCTGCCCGTTACTCCCTGTACCGTCCCAAACCGCCCTGCATGTTACTCTCTGTACCGTCCCAAACCACCCTGCCTGTTATTTCTTGTACTGCCCCAAACCGCCCTGCTTATTGCTCCCTGTATTGCCCCAACCGCCCTGCTTGTTACTTACCCTGCCTGTTTCTCCCTGTTCTGCCCCAAACCGCCCTGCCTGTTACTCCCTGTACCGACTCAAACCACCCTGCTCTTGACTCCTTGTACCACCCCAAACCATCCTGCCTGTTACTCCCTGTACTGCCCCAAACCGCCTGCCTGTTACTCCCTGTACTGCCCCAAACCGCCCTGCCTGTTACTCCCTGTTCTGCCCTAAACCACCCTGCTTTTACTCCCCGTTCTGCCCCAATTTGCCAAGCAGGGTTTATGGATTGTTCCGGGAATAAATACAGCATCATACAATGAAATGCAATTGCTAATGGGTTCGTTTATACCTGATCTCTCGCAGATTGTCAAGAATAGATTTGACGGGGACCTGGGCATCATGCCGCTACACTTTAACAAGGAGACGCGGACCATGTCACCTCCTTCCAAATCACGGAGCAAAAAAGCGGCCGGGGCAAAGGTCGCCAGGCCGGGCGAAGCCGACGAATCGGAAGACTCGTACGAACTCTTTGAGGAGCTGATGTTGGTGAGCAGGCAGGAGGATGAACTTGGAAGGGGTGAATGAACCAATCAGAGGCTCTGATATATGTGGCAGCAAATGGGAAGGGCCAATCACAACAGTTCTTACATTCATGGCGGAGGAGAAAGGACAAATCACAGGAATCCTGAAGCGTGTTAAACCAATCACAGGAATCCTGAAGCGTGTTAAACCAATCGCAGCTTCCTTGGTTTGGAAGTGGTCCAATCACAGGGGTGAATAAACCAATCAAAGGCTCTGATGTATATGGCAGCAAATGGGAAGGACCAATCATAACAGTTCTTACATTCATGACAGAGGAGACAGGACCAATCCTATTGGCCCTCTAATCATGTTAAACCAATCAGAGCTTCCTTGGTGAGAAAGTGGTCCAATCACAGAAGCCGTACAATATGAGTTGTAAATTCTTATTTTTTTGGTAAATGTCTGTTATATGATTCAAATGAAATATATTGTTTTGTTGTACTTTTTGTAATCCCACCACTTGTTAAAAATTATATGGTTTTACGTTTTGCAAACATAGAATGGTGCCTTAGGTGCTTTGCTAAGTACATGGTTGAATGACCTTTGAGAAAAGGTTGCCATGCCAGTTTAAGGGCCCTACAACATGTACCGATGGGAATTTTTTGTTAGTTTCTATTTTTGTAAAAAGCAGCTGAGACAATTAAAAATGTTTATCACACACTGATTCCGATTGATCAGAGAAATCAGATAAGACGAAATTTTCATTGTATTTTGTACTCAATTTTTCAATCTTTATATATTAAAGACAAATTAATGTAAAAAGTGCTTTACTATAACTATCAGTACTCCTTTGTTCAGATTGTTGTAGGGGTAGGCGATTTTTTTTGATATATCAGATTCTTGTGGCCTTTCTTTTCAGGGGGTTGGGGTTGAGGAAACCCAATATGTAAACAAGTTTAGAAAGGGGTGACATATTCGTCATCGTCACCACGAAGTGACACTAACATAACAAAATCGATATGTTACGTTTCGATTTTTATCCTGATTTGTGATTAATTACACATAATCTATCACCTCAAGAAGTTACTAAACACATAGTTAATTAGTTTTGTGAAAACATTAACTAACATTAATTAAAGTTTGCAACTTAATGGGTCAAAACCGGAAAATGCGTTTTCACGAAGTGTACTATACCATTCTTTTGCGTGTAAAGTGCCTGCACTCTACGCGTCAAAAACGGGTTTTGCGTTTTCACGAAGTGACACAAATGTCACATGATACGCGCGACTCACATGTGGCGTTATCACGAAGTAGCGCTAACCCATTAGCTAATACACATGGTTAGCGTCACTTCGTGAAAACCCGAACACAGCGTAATCTGAATTTTAAGTTTTCACGAAGTGACCTTATGGTTAATTAGTTTGATAACTCATTACAGGCATGCAACTTTTCCTCGGATCAGCTGATTTCCTCTTTTTTTACTTCCGAAGTGTGCCATTGAAAATAGAAAAACACTTTACAAAGTCTGGGAAAAATTTGAATTTCCTCTTTTTTTGTGATTTCCCAGTTGCATGCCTGTCATTAATGTTATTTGTTTTCAATTAAAATCATACATTAACGTGACATTCAAGATCCCAGCTTTCAGACAATGTAAAAAAAATATGAATTTTGAGGCTAAAACGATGTTCAGATCACCGTTTCAAAACATTGCCATTTTTATCCATTATATCTCAAAACACACATTTTCCACTACGCGGGGGTTAAGGTCACTTCGTGGTGTCAGTGATTATGTCCAGTTATTAGGCTTTCTTTCAAAGGATGGGTCCGTTTGTGGGCAGGATAACTACCATTTTACCCCACCAAAAACAGGCGGAAAATCCCCTGTACCTCACACAAATGTGAAAAACAAGAATTAAAAAAAAATTATGCAAATTTAAAAAATAAGAAAATTAAAGGATTCAATTTGTCTCAATTCAATTCATTATCACATTTATTGCCTTTCTTTCATGGGAAATAAAACAGATCGTAAAATGTTGAGCAAGAAGGAAAGAAACAAATGCGAAATTTAATCAATTCAGTATTCAGTAGCAACATTCTTGTTGGGATGATATTTTTTAGGCTTGAATCCTCCGTAAGAGATTTTGTTTTTTGTTCAACCGTCAATTTAACCTGTTTTTGTAACATAACAGTCATACGATTTTTCAGACTTTTGTCTGAAATCAGACCTTATAAATCTGAGAGAGAGGGACAATAAATATAAGTATAGAAAGAAATGCATCTTTGAGAGCTTTCATTAAATTTGTATACCTTTTTATTTTTTAAACTGACAATCTCGTCCATAACAAATCTCGCCCATGCATTGAAGTCAGAAAGTTGATAACGAGGTTGTTACCTCCGCAAAGGAGGTTATGTTTTCATCGGATTTGGTTGGTTGGTTGGTTGGTTTGTCTGTTAACAAGATACGGTAACTCAAAAAGTTATGGACGGAGTTGCATGAAAATGTTTTTAGGGCTGGTCCTTGGTATAAGTACACATCGATTAGATTTTACACGTGATCCGGATCTGGGTCTGGATCCAGGATTGGTTTTTTAAAGGATTCTTCACCATTTATGCGAGTATCTTTTGGGTGTACTGACAATATGGCGGGGAATTGTTCAGCCTCGGCGGAGGTTTGCTACTCTTCAGTGATTTCTAGTTGTAATATCGACCTTTCTTTTAAAAACAAAGTATCACTTTTTGAAGGCTGAAAATTTTCAATAGTTTTTTATCTCTTGCTTTTATGTAATTATTTTTGTTAAAAATAATTCCAAAACGTCACGTCTGACGCTGGATATTTTCCCCCCTTTCATTCCCTGGGATGCAGGAGATCAGTGTCACAATAAATTATGAAAAACTGCATGGAGATGCAAGCTTTCTGATATGTACTATCCGTTGCCCCTTTAGTAATTGTTGATGTCCGATAGTTTGGTCGTTGCCAATGTCCGTGGAACGGTTGTTAGATGTGAAGCTTGTCGTGTGGCGTATTTGTGTGTGGGTTTTTTTTTGGGGGGGGGACTGGACCTCCCCCTCCCACTCACGATGTTTTTCCGTAGGCGGGTGAAGCAATATCGTGAATAATTCAGTAGTTTCGATAGCAACATTACGTTTATTCATAAAAAAAAAAGAACAATGACGTCAGCAGCATTGTTATTTAGTCAACAGTGAGATGAGGCCTGATGGTTGTGATCCACCGACGCCCATTTTCATCCAATATTTTTTCTTCTCCAAATAATTTCTTTCATTGGGATATACTTTTCATTTAAGGTAAAGCCGAATCCGCGAATCTAAGTGTCCTGCAATGAATATAAGGTTTTTGCCCAAAGTCATCTTATGAACTGTCCTGCAATGATTCCATCGAAACTACTGAAATATTCATGAAATGGCTTCACCCACCTATATACGGAAAAATATCATCCCCTCCCCCACCCCTCCCCCGTGACTCGGGTTACAATGACAAGCAGCTGCTGTAATGTCTCATTCCATATATAAAACGAGAAAGAAATGCCAGCACGTTGAGTAAAAATCAAACAATTATTATAGATAAAGCACAGGACATAGAGATCGTCTGTTGGACCTTATTTCAGATCAGAGCGTTCTCATTTTCTCTTGGAAAAAGTAGCAATGTCCTAATCATATGGAACGAGAAGGTGGTGTCAATGCCCTCTGTAATTAACCTTAAAAATGGTTCCGTCTTTTTAACGAAACTAGCCTTGTGAAACGATCTTTGCACAGTTGGCTACTCAGGATGATCGCAAGCTTAGCTAGGCCAGCCGAGGCACCGTTCTGCGTGCTCCCCCTCCCCCTTTTCCCACTAGGAAGTGTTTTATTTCCCCTTATCGAATCCCCAATTACCCAAGTATCCTGTTTGTATTGGACCCAATTTCCTTGAATCGGTTTGGTAATGCTTGACAGTTTTACCAATGTGGCACGCGGTTATCACTAGGACTGGGAGAAGCTTATAGCCGTAGGAGGCACGAATTGAAAAGCCCACTTTCACAATTACTTCTTTAAGTTCATCTTCAGTATTCTCCCACAAGAATGCTGCAAATTAAAGTGTAGCAATGTAGGTATCTAACTACAGTGATCATTTCTCCATAAGATGCACATTTAAAATTACCACAAAAGCAAATTAAACCTTTTCCACGAAATCTGCCATTAATTATTGACTTGTTGACATTTTGACGCGGTACGCAGATAGAGTACGCCACGCCCATTAATTCGCTAATTAGAACAGCGCCACCACGCGGTGATATTTTAACTCGTGCCAATTTTAGTCGGGTTTCCTGTCAATATCGTAACGCATTCTTACCTGCCTGACATCTGGTGAAGACCGGGTATTTACTTTACACATTAAATCGGCACCGGCATCACAGTCACACTTCATGCACTTCGCAGACGTTGCGATGAATTCAGTGCGCAAGGAAGAGTCGGGTCTAACTTGCCGGTCTGAGTGCCGTAAAATGTCGTGATTTCCTCAGTTGGCAGCGAGGGATCGTACAGGATAGACGCTTGGACGGCTAGCGGGAGGGATGGAGTGGTTGATGTCGTAAGTTGAAGAGGATGATAGGCTTATTTGTTATTTATAATTTCTTTTACATTTTTGTTGATCAATTGAGTTGATCTTTGCCATTTTGCAGTTGGTGGAACTTGGTAATATTGGATGCTGGTGAAATTGACTACATACCCACATACTGACTAGTACTAGTAGCATGCACCTGTTCTCAGCCACAGAACATCATGAACATGAATGATGAATGATGGTGATCCAACATGTCCAACAGATGGACATCATTGTGAACATTTATTCGTTGGCCTAAGTTCATGACCATGATGACGTTACAATCAATGGGCGTTAGTTAGTTACTTTCCATTACTTTTTGTTTTACAAATTACTTGTTTTAGCCTAGGGAAAAAATTCCGTACTCGGACGTCACTTTTTTCAATTAATTTTTCTAGCGCCAAAAGTTACATCTTTTATGGTTATTCCTCCACTTTCCCTCCTCTACTCTCACCCTCTCCTTTCCTTAATTTCTATATATTAATCAGTCAGTTACTTCATCGGGATTCGAACCTCTGACGCTTGCTTGATACACGAGACTCTTAACCGCTAGGCCGCGCACGATCGCTGTTGCAATAATCAATCTTTGGACGTATTTGAAGTATCCATTGAAATAAACTAAATATTCATGAGAAAATAAATATTCATAATGACGTATTGCACTATCATTGGCAGGCTCATGCGACGTCATGGTTGTTGATGTCACGTGTATAACGTACCGCTGTCTTTCAGCCACTACAATCAGTTTTGACCGGCTGCTTCAAGTTAGTTCTGCACGACGTATGCATCCAAAATGTGCTCTAAAAACACATTTTGAGTAAATTTTTTTTCACCTTAACACAGCTTCCTGGATTTCTCTTGGTTCAAAGGACAAGGTGAGGTGACAATTAATATGTTTGGCAACAGATAAATTGACGTCCGAGTATGGAACTTTTCCCTAGCCTAGTTTAGGACCACTCTCCGACACGTCTGTTTAAACGTAGTCTATATTTTGATGGCAGTGGATAGTTAGCAAGATCCGGCTTTTTTTTTTTAGTAAACGATATTTTGCTGGATAGGCACTGAAGCATGCGCAGTGACTGTTTTTTGGGACCTTGATTGAATTTTTTACCGTGATAAGTCTGGTTCCATGCCAACATTGTCATTGTGACTTTGTATTCACACGATGGGAATCAGACCATTTTACATGTACATTATGGACTTTAATTAAGGGAATAAATGTGTACTTGGCCGGTTTTAAACACTTGGTTTGAGACTGGTTGGAGTCTGGATGCTGATAATTGCCCGAGGTGAACCGGTCTTAAACATATACCGGCCAAGCACACATTTATTCCCACGTAAACAACTAGACGTAAATAACTCCTTATACATGGAGATTGGCACACATGTCGCGCGTATTGCGCGATGTGGCGCAGAACGCAGCTGTTCAGGTGTATTGTAAATTTAGGACTGTGAATTTCTGACGCACTGGTAGTATTGCGCATGCTTACGTGAGGATTGTGAACGTTCAACCAATAAAATGGTAAAAGGCACTGGATTTCACAGAGTCCAAATTTCATGTGACACTGGAAAAGTGTTGAAGACCAGCCAGCCGGTCTTTAATAACCATTTAAAACCGGTCACATTGCAGGCTCTCGACCAATGGGAATGGACTGTCTTAGGTATAAAAGTTATGAATTCCCTTTCTAAAAAAATCCTCCAGCGCCACGAATCAGAGCCAATGTCGTGTCTAGGTTTTATTAGATCTCTGTGCCAGTTGTATACATGTAGTACAAAAACATCGCATCCAAATTGACCAATCAACAGCTCAGTCCAGATTTTGGAATGAAATGATGTCACGATTTTAGTGTATATAGTTGACTCCAATTGGTTGGCGCGCGAGGTCGCATAAATTTGCATGCTTAGATCAGACGTTGGACCGGAGACACGGAGGGCTCTGTTGGACAACGAGTGACACTCAGACTAGTGGAATGGCTGATATTTGACCAATTTTAAATAAAAAATTCAAGCTAATAATACTCCCCAACGAAGAGCTCGAATGATGCGTGATAGTGGCTTTCAACAAAAGTGCTGCATTTGACAAACAATAGAGACACACAACTTGTGCGATTAAAACAACATTGTGGGCGTTTGTCATCATCTCCTCAAGATTGCACACTTGTTTTTGAATAGTTGAATTGATAAAATGCTCGGATATTCGATTAATGATCAAATATACTGAATATTTGAATATAATAATAATAATAATAGTGGATATTTATAAAGCGCACGTATCCACCAGGACTGGTGCTCAAGGCGCTACATCATTATTACCCCTGCTCATTGGGCACATAAAACAATCCAAATACCGTCTCAGCTCCCTGGGGAGTATACAGCTCGATGCAGCCTGTTGGGCGCAAGGAAGCTAATTCAATCACAATAACCATCTCTGCCCTCACAGGTACCCATTTACTCCTGGGTGGAGAGAAGCAATGAGTGACAAAGTGCCTTGCCCAAGGGCACACGCACCATGACCCCGCCAGGATTTGAACCCACAACCTGCAGCTTTATCCACAGACCACGAATCAGTGCCCTTAACCACGAGGCCACAGTACTCCACAATATGCGATCATCAAATGATTAGTCAAATAGCTTTTTGCCGGTTGCAATATTCAAAGAAAAAAAAAGAAGAAAAATACTCACGCGCACATGTGACTGTGATGTTATTTCAATCGTAAAATTGTGGCGCTTTATTGTCAGATACCACTTTTTTGTGGGCGGTAACTTTTTTGGTCGATGGTGGTTCATTGTTCCCATCCTTTTAGCAGGTAGTTATAAAACACTAACTGCAAAACGCTCCAGTGGTCCATAATATTGATTGCCGCAATTTTTTTTATCTACGTGGCACGCAGTTGCAGCTGGCGCATGTAAAACTTTAATGGAGAGTTTTCAATAGTTGGTAGGGCTGTCTCGAATAATCTGAATATTCGAATATTCGATCATCAACCGAATATTCCAATAGCTTTTCACCGGTTCAAATATTCAAAAGATAAAATAAAACTGTGCATGTGATGCGATCAAGCTAAATGAGTCGGTTTTTTTTACAGATTTGAAAAGAGCACAATCTCAGCATTACTGCTGTGAAAATCGCATGCGGGTACCATCTTTAGTTAAAATATTATGGAAATCGGAACACCAACAGATGTGATGAAGTGATGTGATGAAGTGGCCCTATTTTGGCCTGAATCTCCGAATGAAATTCCCGACAAACGACTCATGTACTTAACCCTAACCGCCCTGAATCCTCCAAAATCCTTTTTGCAAATTGGAAGAATTTGCAGGATTGAGGTTACATGGCCAAAGTGCGTTGCTGATTTCGGAGTACGCACTGTGTCAAGGTCTTGGACCGGACCTTGTGTTGTTTATGCTCAGCCGTGCATAAATTTAGTCCTTGATTATACTTGACATCCTCCGCACTGCTCCAGGATGTCACTGCCTCTGCCTCAGCCTATTGACAGTCATAGCCGGAGGATTTTGCAGGATTCAGGCAGTGGTCATCCCTCCATGGACCATATTCAAGAAACAATGGAGGAATTTGCAGGATTGAGGCTACATGCTATTTTTCCATGAGGCCAATTGGAGGATTTTGCAGGATTGAGGCTACATCCTAGCAAAAAGGCCTATGGAGTTAGGGATAATGTAGCCTGATCGCATCACATACAAGTACACAACTGTGATGTTATTTTAATCGTAAAGTTGTATTTGTCAGATGCCACTGTTTGTCGACGATGACAGCAACTTGTTTTGTCAACAGTAACGGTGGTTCGTTGTTCTCATCCTTTCAGCAGGCTAGAGCCCTTGACAGTTATACAATACTTACTGCAAGGCATTCGAGCGGCCCAAAACATGGATCGATGCACGCAAATCTTACCCGGTGTACTTTGCGTGCAACATGTTACTGGCATGGCATGCAGTTGCAGCCGGCGTGTGTAAACTTGATAGGCGAGTTTCGAATATTCGAATATTCGGTCAAACACAGTTTCGAATAATCAAATACTGAAGTATTCGAAAATGGACAGCGTTAAAAAATGAATCAACGAGTTTCGAATATTCGGTAAAACACAGTTTTGAATAATTGAATACTAAAGTATTCGAAAGTTGACAGTCCTAATATTTGAATATTTGGTGGAATGCAGTTTTAAATAATCAAATACTAAATTATAAAATAGACAGTCCTACTACACATTGTAGGTGCTGCAAACTTAAAGCTATAGTCCATCATTTGCAGCTATCCAAAAAGTAACTGACGTAATTATTGTTGAAAAACACAATTGGTTGAACGATTGTAAGGGGACTAAACTCCCTGTGAAATTATTCTGTCTGGCAAGCAGTCATTTTGGAGAAATCAACGAAAGAAGGTCTTTAAATGCACCATTGGAAATTTTCGTTAGTACATGTAGTTTGTTGTTTTATTCGGCGAAGCGCGCGCAAGTGTTGACACCCAACATTGCCCAATTCAAAATTTGATTTAGCATCTTTTGATTTGAAATCGATATCCTAAAATGCTGTTTTTCTCGGAATATACAGCTGAAGCTGAGCTGAAACTTCATCAGGTTAGTTGTTCATCATTTTTCTTCAGATTTTTGAGCAAGTTTGTTGCTTCAAACGAGCAAATGCACAAATTACAAATGATGGACTATACCGGTAGGCCTACCTTTAAATCTGTGCATGCACAATAGTACTGCGATTGTTCAGTAACACGTGCCTAGAAAGGGGCTATGTGATCTTTATCACTCCATCAAATAATCCTCTTTAAGTGCAGACTTTAATGCGGCCAGACGGCAGTGTGCAGGCCTGAGAGGTGTCCAGTTTCCAAATGTCAAACGAGGCAACATGGCTAACCACAGTTTCAGCAGACATTGCTTAAAGGTGTACACTTTCACCCAGAGATTGCCAATATTTAGTGAACATTCCATATTAGGTTGAGAAAAAAAATATGTGTTTACGGT